TGACCCGAGGTGTGTGGGGGTGTCAAAAAAGTCAAGTTGGCGCTGCAACTGTGCCATCAAACCCCGCCCCCCTTTCTGCATGCATTCCCGAAACGTACTTGAATGGAAAAAACACCAGGAAAGAGAACAGGTATACTGCTGTGAATATGAAAAAGAGGGTGTTGCAAGTCTTCTGCCACTTCAGGTAGTTAAACATCTTCGCGAACTGGGGAAAAAGAGAAAGAAAGAAGCAGAAATTGTTGAGTGTCTGAGGTTCCTATTGTGAAAGGACTTGACTTTCAGGATTCGGGTTCAGGTTTCTCTACATATAAACTGCAGCATCTATCTTCTCTCTTCCACGAAGGATGCTGGGAATTGTAGTTTGGGGAATATGTAAATGCCCAAGAGAAACATGGCCATAGGTTAGCTTACAAGCCTGTCTTAGTCTCCAGCAGCTCAAACCTGTTCCAAACCTCCGGTGCTGAATGGAGACCAAGTGCAAAGTCATTGTTTCAGACTGAAAACTGGGCATCTGAAATATGAAACAATTCCAGCTTGAATTGCTTTGCATGCCGTTGCTATCTCTGAAGTGCTTAGGCGTATTATTTCTCTTCCTTCAAACAAGCCTTTAAACTGGGACTACAGCACCCATAATTTAGCCAGTCCCAACACTTCTGACGGCTTGCAGGAAGGAGAAGGCTGGTATAAATTCCTTTCTTGATTTATTTCCTTTTTCCAAAGAACATGAAAGAGTTTTTTTTCAAAAAGAGAAGGGGAAGAATCTGTTCTTCCTTCTTGGGGTAGAGGAGGAGTGTTCCTGAGCATTAACTTACGTGCAGGAAAACATCTTGAGGTTCGTGTATAATCATGACAACCAAACCGATACGGATGTAATTGGCGCAGTATGAGAAGCTCATCAGGAGGAGGGCGGCCCCATGGTGGACAATTTCCTTACAAAAGTCCTGCAACAAGAGAGAGGATTCAACTGATGGATTTTGCGGCTGCTCGTCGGGGCCAGACACCCCATTATGGGGAAGGGGTTTAGAGAGGAATGTTTTGCATCTGCAGATACACCAAATTAGTGCCCTCGTTTTTCACTTTTTCTCTTCATTTGATTGATTTTGCAGTTTTAAAATTAGCCGCCCAGAGTCTCCGTGGCGAGATGGGCAGCCACTGAAATCGACTGAAAGGCACAAATGCTGG